GTGATGGTGGTAGCCCCATTCTAGGATATGTAGTGGAATGTCAGAAACCTGGCACTGCACAGTGGGACAGGATTAATAAAGATGAACTCATTAGACAGTGTGCCTTTAGGGTACCTGGACTAATTGAAGGAAATGAGTACAGATTCCGTATAAAGGCAGCTAATATTGTGGGTGAGGGAGAACCAAGAGAACTAGCAGAGTCTGTGATTGCAAAAGATATCCTTCATCCTCCAGAAGTAGAACTTGATGTTACTTGCCGCGACGTTATTACTGTTAGAGTGGGCCAAACTATCCGCATTCTTGCTCGAGTCAAAGGCAGACCTGAACCAGATATAACTTGGACTAAGGAAGGCAAAGTATTAACTCGAGATAAGCGAGTCGATCTAATTCATGATCTACCGCGTGTTGAGTTACAAATTAAAGAAGCCGTTAGAAGTGATCATGGAAAGTATATCATCTCAGCTAAGAACAGCAGTGGGCATGCCCAAGGTTCAGCCATTGTTAATGTCCTTGACAGACCTGGGCCTTGCCAGAATTTGAAAGTTAGCAATGTAACCAAAGAGAATTGCACACTTTCTTGGGAAAACCCACTTGATAACGGTGGCTCAGAAATAACAAATTTCATAGTAGAATATCGTAAACCAAACCAGAAAGGCTGGTCAATTGTTGCTTCAGATGTCACCAAGAGATTAATCAAGGCCAACCTTTTAGCCAACAATGAATACTATTTCCGAGTTTGTGCAGAGAATAAAGTAGGTGTTGGACCCACCATTGAAACAAAAACTCCAATTCTGGCCATTAACCCAATTGACAGACCTGGTGAGCCTGAAAACCTTCATATTGCAGATAAAGGAAAGACATTTGTGTATCTAAAGTGGCGGCGGCCTGATTATGATGGTGGCAGCCCAAATCTATCATATCATGTTGAGAGGAGGCTGAAGGGCTCTCCTGACTGGGAAAGAGTGCATAAAGGAAGCATTAAAGAAACCCACTACATGGTTGACAAGTGTGTTGAAAACCAAATTTATGAGTTCAGAGTGCAAACAAAGAATGAAGGTGGAGAAAGTGATTGGGTAAAGACAGAGGAAGTTGTTGTGAAGGAAGACTTGCAGAAACCAGTACTTGATCTGAAATTAAGTGGGGTGCTAACTGTCAAAGCAGGGGACACCATCAGACTTGAGGCAGGTGTTAGAGGCAAACCATTTCCGGAAGTTGTATGGACCAAGGACAAAGATGCTACAGATTTAACAAGATCACCAAGGGTCACGATTGATACCGGTGCAGATTCATCTAAATTCTCTCTTAGCAAAGCAAAGCGAAGTGATGGTGGTAAATATGTAATTACAGCAACGAACACAGCTGGCAGTTTTGTGGCCTTTGCCACTGTCAATGTTTTAGATAAGCCTGGACCTGTACGAAATCTGAAAATTACTGACGTGTCCAGTGATAGGTGTACCATTCGCTGGGACCCACCAGAAGATGATGGTGGCTGTGAAATCCAAAATTATATCCTAGAAAAATGTGAGAGCAAGCGAATGGTTTGGTCTACCTATTCTGCTTCTGTCTTGACACCTGGTACTACTGTAACACGTCTCATAGAAGGAAATGAATATATTTTCAGAGTCCGTGCAGAAAATAAAATAGGCACAGGGCCTCCAACAGAAAGTAAACCAGTCATAGCAAAAACCAAATATGACAAACCTGGTCGCCCTGATGCCCCAGAAGTCACTAAAATAAGCAAAGAAGAGATGACTGTGGTTTGGAATCCACCTGAATATGATGGTGGAAAGTCTATCACAGGATATTATTTGGAGAAAAAAGAAAAACATGCAGTACGATGGGTCCCTGTAAACAAGAATGCAATCCCTGAGAGACGTATGAAAGTACAGAATCTCTTCCCAGGACATGAATATCAGTTCCGTGTCAAGGCAGAAAATGAAATTGGCATTGGAGAACCAAGCTTACCATCAAGACCAGTGGTGGCAAAAGATCCCATAGGTAAGATGGTTTTGTTTTTTTCTGATGTTATACCAATTTTTAATTTCAAACACAGAGGTTTTAGATGAGTTAGTCCATAATATCAAAACTTTAGCCAACATATTTCCAAATAGACCTTTTACCAAATCACCTAAAAGCTTTAAACAATAGTAGATTCTATTTTTTATGGAGGACAATAAGGAGGGCTCAGTAACTGAGATATGTAATGACTCTTTTAGTTTGAGGATTGACTATATAAACTTACAATTTAAAATATCAGTAGTAAGTAAACATGTTCATTTATTTTTTATGTAATTTATTTTCAGAACCACCTGGCCCACCAACCAATCTGAAAGTGGTCGATACAACAAAACATTCCATAACTCTTGGATGGGGAAAACCAGTCTATGATGGCGGTGCACCGATAATTGGATATGTTGTAGAAATGAGACCCAAAATAGCAGATGCATCACCTGATGAAGGCTGGAAAAGGTGCAATGCTGCAGCACAACTCGTTCGCATGGAATTCACTGTTACCAGCTTGGATGAAAACCAGGAATATGAGTTCCGGGTGTGTGCCCAAAATCAAGTTGGCATTGGGCGCCCTGCAGAGCTAAAGGAAGCAATCAAGCCTAAAGAAATCCTAGGTGAGGCCTCCTCTCATTTAGCACCTGATTCATTCCCATTACATTTCTCCTAAAGTTTCCCCATGTTCTGAAAATCAACCAATGACCTTCATGTCGTTAATGTTCCCAGAACCTCCAGAGATTGATTTGGACGCCAGTATGAGGAAGCTGGTCATAGTGAGAGCGGGATGCCCCATCCGGCTATTTGCCATAGTAAGAGGGCGGCCAGCCCCCAGAGTCACTTGGCGAAAAGTGGGTATCGACAATGTGGTCAGAAGAGGACAAGTTGACCTGGTTGACACTATGGCCTTCCTGGTCATCCCCAATTCTACCCGTGATGACTCTGGAAAATATTCCTTAACAGTAGTGAACTCAGCAGGAGAAAAGGCTGTGTTTGTGAATGTCAGAGTATTGGGTAAGTTGCTAAAAAGCCCTCTAACCCTTCAGAAAATAGTTGAAAAAAAAAAAAAGGAAACTGACAGAACATGTATATCTGATTCTCTGGTTCTTTACAGATACTCCTGGACCTGTATCTAATTTAAAAGTTTCAGATGTCACAAAAACATCATGCCATGTGTCCTGGGCCCCACCTGAAAATGATGGTGGCAGCCAAGTGACGCATTATATTGTGGAGAAACGTGAGGCAGAGAGAAAGACATGGTCAACAGTTACCCCAGAAGTTAAGAAAACAAGCTTCCACGTGTCCAATCTTGTCCCTGGCAATGAATACTTCTTCAGAGTAACTGCTGTCAACGAATATGGCCCTGGTGTCCCAACAGATATCCCGAAACCAGTGCTTGCATCAGATCCTCTAAGTAAGAAATCTCCTTTCTTCCTCCTTTTAACTCCAGTGCCTTATTTTTAGCAAGATGCCAGCAGCATTTTCATCCACTTCTGAAAGGTATTTAACTTGTAGAGACCCAAATAGTACAATAGGTATGTAATTCGCCCAGGAAGGACGTTCTTGACCTGCTTAATCTTTTTACTTCCAACATACTGAACTACAGGTTTCAGACACTTTGAGGTAAATGATATATTAAAAGTATACTAACAAAGGAGATTTTATTCAGTTACCTAGATAATTTTCTACATTGTTTTCTCCTTGTAGGTGAGCCAGATCCTCCCAGAAAACTAGAAGTGACTGAAATGACAAAGAACACTGCTGTGTTAGCCTGGTTACCTCCCCTGCGTGATGGAGGGGCCAAAATCGATGGCTATATCATCAGTTACAGAGAAGAAGACCAGCCTGCAGATCGCTGGACAGAGTACTCAGTGGTAAAAGATCTCAGCCTCATTGTCTCTGGTTTAAAGGAAGGAAAGAAATATAAATTTAGAGTAGCAGCCAGAAATGCTGTTGGAGTCAGCTTGCCAAGAGAAGCTGAAGGAGTATATGAAGCCAAAGAACAACTGTGTAAGTAATCATTGCTTCAATTAGATCATATGATAAAAGATTATTAAAATTTTATTTGGCTATATAAACATTTGTCCCTGAGGAATCTAGTTCTAGAAATATGTGCGAAATAGTTGAGAACAGTAGTTTTCAAACATAGGAACCCACAACACATAGTAGGTAAACTTTAAGCCATGACCCAATACATACACATAACTAAAAAGTGATTTTTGAAACAAGACCTATCCTTAGGTACCTGCATCCAGTATTTTCTGTTATCCCATTTCATTCCTTTTGAAAATACAGACTGTAAGGGAAACATTACTTTGAGCCCACTATGGGTTGCAACCCACTATTTTGAAAAATCTTCCCCACCAGAGAAAATTTAACACCGCCTCCAAATTAATGTATTCTCATTTTAATTTTAGTGCCACCAAAGATCCTTATGCCAGAGCAAATTACTATTAAAGCTGGGAAGAAACTCCGCATCGAAGCTTATGTGTATGGAAAGCCTCATCCCACCTGTACATGGAGAAAAGGAGAAGAAGAAGTTGTCACATCCAGCCACCTGGCGGTACACAAAGCAGACAGCTCTTCTGTCCTGATCATAAAAGATGTTACTAGGAAAGACAGTGGTTACTATAGCCTCACAGCAGAGAATAGCTCAGGAACAGACACTCAGAAAATCAAAGTCATCGTCATGGGTAAGTTAAGTATGAGACAAAGGGTCTTCAAAGAATGAAGATCACAAAACTGATCTCCTAACAAATCCATGTCCTTCTGTTTCTTCCCTCTTGGTTCCTGCAGATGCACCTGGGCCCCCTCAGCCTCCATTTGACATTGCTGACATCGACGCCGACGCTTGTTCCCTGTCGTGGCACATCCCACTGGAGGATGGAGGCAGCAACATCACTAATTACATAGTGGAGAAGTGTGACGTGAGCCGAGGGGACTGGGTCACAGCTCTAGCTTCGGTCACGAAAACTTCTTGCAGGGTTGGAAAGCTGATCCCAGGCCAGGAGTATATGTTCCGGGTCCGTGCTGAAAATCGATTTGGAATTTCAGAGCCTCTCACATCTCCAAAGATGCTTGCTAAGTTCCCATTTGGTATGTGTTTTTCAAGGAGAAAAGAAATGTTTTCTTTCCACTCTTACTGAAAGCGCAAATTGACATGTTCCTTATATTCATCTGTAGATGTGCCTAGTGAACCAAAGAATGCACGAGTCACTAAAGTCAACAAAGACTGCATATTTGTCGCATGGGACCGACCAGACAGTGATGGAGGGAGCCCTATTACTGGTTACTTGATTGAACGCAAAGAGAGAAACAGTTTACTCTGGGTGAAAGCTAATGACACTGCCGTCCGGTCAACTGAATATCCTTGCGCTGGCCTTGTTGAAGGTCTTGAGTATTCATTCAGAATCTATGCCCTAAACAAAGCTGGATCCAGCCCTCCCAGCAAACCAACAGAATATGTAACTGCAAGAATGCCAGTTGGTGAGTTTGTGGGGGGTTTGCTTTGTTTTTTCAATATTGTAGAGGCCATTTAAATCTTGGAGCCTCTAAAGATTACTATTTCCATTCAGGAATAGGTTCTATCTCTTACCATGAAAACATACTGCATGTGACTCTTGTAAGCACATAATAAATACTCAAAAATCAAAAGTGGATTCTTTTGAGCTTATTACTTAGGAACAGGGTAATAAGGTAAAGTATGGGGTTTAAACTTCTGTTAGCAATTTAAATGCTGAGAATATTTCTTCTAATTTCAGATCCTCCTGGGAAACCTGAAGTTACTGATATCACCAAGAATTCTGCATCCCTCATCTGGGCCCGGCCCAAGCATGATGGAGGAAGCAAAATTATTGGCTATTTTGTAGAAGCTTGCAAACTTCCCGGTGATAAGTGGGTACGGTGCAATACGACACCTCACCAGATTCCCCAGGAAGAGTACACGGCTACTGGCTTGGAAGAGAATGCTCAGTATCAATTTAGAGCAATTGCTAAGACTGCAGTAAACATCAGCCCCCCTTCTGAACCTTCTGACCCAGTGACCATCCTTGCTGAGAATGGTAGGATTCCACTGAGCATTACAGACAGAGATGTACAGCATTCATGTTAATTTCATCTAATAGAGCAACTAAACCTATCCCTATGCAAAAAGGGAAAATAAAGTGATAGATGCTGTGGATATGACACTAAAACTTTTATTGCAGAGACAACATGCTAAACTAAAAGCAAGACACAAAACTGAAGACTGTAATCTCAACACTACAGTCACAGAAATATGACAACCAAATGCATTTAAATGATAGTAATGATTTTTTAGAACTGTTGAAATTATATAAATTTACTTTTTTATGTCCTCAGCATTGTCAAACTTCTACATTAAACTTTGTTACTTTTTAAATGAATATATTACTTAAAGAAAAAAAAAACTATTCTTGGTGGTTACCTGGAGTTGGGGGATGGAAAAAGGAAGGGTGCCAAATGGCTCAAAGTTCCAGTTAGACAGGAAGAATAAATTTTAGTGATCAACTGAATAGCATGATGACCATAGTTAATAATGTTGCTAAAAGAGTAGATTTTAAGTGTTCTCACTACAAAAAAAAAAAAAAAAAATTCTGAGTAGGGGAGGGGATGGGTATGTTGATGTAATCATGCCATAATGTATACATATACCAAAATATCACCTTGAACTCCATAAATATATGTAATTATTTATCTAGTAAGGTAAAAATATCCTTGAAAGATATATAGCAAATGAATTACTATTATTAATAAGAATTATAGTTTTGCATATACTTAGTTCTTTTATCTTTTTTCTTTACAGTTCCTCCCAGGATAGATCTGAGTGTGGCTATGAAATCTTTGCTCACTGTGAAAGCTGGAACTAATGTTTGCTTGGATGCTACCGTTTTTGGTAAACCAATGCCAACTGTTTCTTGGAAAAAAGATGGCACACCAGTAAAACCAGCAGAGGGCATAAAGATGGCCATGCAGCGGAACCTGTGTACCTTGGAACTATTCAGCGTTAACCGAAAGGACTCAGGAGATTATACCATTACTGCTGAAAATTCAAGTGGTTCCAAATCAGCCACCATCAAGCTTAAAGTATTAGGTAACTAATGAATTTAATGAGAATCCCTTTTTTTTTAACCTTGGTTGATGGGAAGTAAATAAGATTTACAAAGTAATATGTGAGAAAAAAGATACTTATACTGATACCTATTTCCTAACCACCGAATTAATCTTATCTCAGAACAATAGTGCTTTAGAGCTAAAAGATTATATTAGAGATCATATACTATAGTTAGCTAATTTCACACATAAGGAAACTAAGATTCTGAAAACTTACAACTTCAAGCTCATACAGGAAGTTAATGATAACATAAAGCCTGCAGCCCAGGTGTCCAAACTTCTATTCTGTACTTATTCTCCATTCCAAGTATATTAGTGAAAGGCTTCAACTTTCCTCCTTAATTTTTCAGATAAGCCAGGTCCTCCTGCATCTGTTAAAATCAACAAAATGTATTCAGATCGTGCAATGCTTTCCTGGGAACCTCCTCTTGAAGATGGAGGTTCAGAAATCACCAACTATATTGTGGACAAACGTGAAACAAGCAGGCCCAACTGGGCTCAAGTCTCTTCTACGATACCCATCACCAGCTGTACCGTGGAGAAACTTATAGAGGGCCATGAGTATCAGTTCCGTATCTGTGCTGAAAATAAATATGGAGTGGGTGATCCAATCTTCACTGAACCCGCAATTGCTAAAAACCCATATGGTAGGAACATTTTCTTACTGTTTTTCCTCTGATTTTTTAATATTATCATTTAGCTTGGAAAGCTGACCTTTGAATCAATCCATCTCTGCAGACCCACCTGGACGCTGTGATCCTCCTGTTATTAGCAACATAACCAAAGATCACATGACTGTGAGCTGGAAACCCCCAGCAGATGATGGTGGCTCTCCCATCACTGGCTATTTACTTGAGAAGCGAGAAATGCAGGCAGTGAACTGGACTAAGGTCAACAGAAAACCTGTGATAGAAAGAACAATAAAAGCAACAGGTCTCCAAGAAGGTACTGAATATGAGTTCAGAGTCACAGCAATAAATAAAGCTGGACCAGGCAAACCCAGTGATGCATCCAAAGCTGTGTATGCTCAGGATCCTCTGTGTAAGTTTTCATCAAAGCATTCCATACTCTTACAATCAGAATTAAGCAACCAGAAATGAAGTTTTAATTCAAACTTTCTATTGTTCTTTATCCTCAGACCCTCCTGGCCCACCGGCTTTCCCTAAAGTATATGATACAACCCACAGCTCCGTGAGTCTATCTTGGGGCAAGCCAGCTTATGATGGTGGTAGCCCTATCATCGGTTATCTTGTTGAAGTAAAACGAGCTGACTCTGATCACTGGGTGAGGTGCAATTTACCAGAAAAGCTCCAGAAAACCCGCTTTGAAGTAACTGGCCTGATTGAAAACACAGAATATCAGTTCCGAGTATATGCTGTTAATAAGATAGGATACAGTGACCCCAGTGATGTGCCAGATAAACACTGCCCCAAGGACATCTTAAGTAAGTATTATTTAGCAATATATAGGATTGTATAACAGGGAGACAGAACTCCATTATGTAGATTTATTCACTTACAAGCTTTAGAGTTAGTAACTCCGGGCGTACATTTTAGGAGTGCTGGGTTGATATTTCATGCTAGGCCAAATGAAATGCAAGGTGATTTGTGATTTTGAAAAACGTTTCATATATACATGAAAATTTCATGTCTTCAAGAGAATATAGAATGTGAGAATTTTATTCTGAGAATAAAGACAGTTTTTAAATTCAAGAACTGTCTGTCTTCTAGTTACAATTTAACTCTTCCAGGCTACTGTCTCTAAGTACAGAGTTGCTAGCCTCTTCATTATAAATTCTCTTCCCTGACTTCTTCTATCCACTTACTCTTCATATCTATTCCCTCTACCTTAAAAAAAAAGTTACTAAGCCGGGTGTGGTAGTGCACACCTGTAATCCCAGCACTGGGAGGCTGAGGCAGGAGGATCGCTGTGAGTTCGAGACCAGCTGGGGCTACATAGTGAGTTCCAGGTCAGTCTCAAGTACATAGTGAGACCCTGTCTCTAAAAAAAAAGTTATTTGGCATTACATTTCAATGACTATGTACTTCTCCTTCTACAATGAAATAATAGAGAGAGCCAGAGTCCGGTGTATGGCAGAGTGCCTTCACAGAATGAAGAGAACAAGAATGAAGGAGAGTCAAGGACCAATCACCTTTCTTTTAATGTGCTTAAAGTTTGAGAGTATGTAGGATTTTTGAGTACAGAAAGTACAGATCGTCTAAGCAATATGTGGTTGAGCTTAAAGTATATTAGAAAGTGGAAAAATCAACAACTGGTAGTATTGAAATACTCTTGAGAATTATATTAAGGATGTTTTAGTGAATAAGAAATGAGTTTTAGAAAAGAAATGTATTTTTGGAGTAATAAGGCCAGTCTTAAGAACCACATCTGACTATTACATTTTTATTAACTTTCTTCAACCCCAAATTACACAGTTCCACCTGAGGGAGAGCTTGATGCTGAATTACGGAAAACACTCATATTACGTGCCGGAGTTACAATGAGACTCTATGTGCCAGTAAGAGGACGGCCACCTCCAAAGATTACTTGGTCCAAACCAAATGTCAATTTAAGAGAAAGGATTGGACTGGACATAAAGTCAACTGACTTTGACACTTTCTTGCGCTGTGAAAATGTGAACAAATATGATGCAGGAAAATATATCTTAACCCTGGAGAACAGCTGTGGCAAAAAGGAATATACCATTGTAGTGAAAGTGCTTGGTAAGTCTACTTGAACAAAAATCCTGTTGTTTGAAAGTATAGTTTATGTATATTTACATAAATGAAATTTTTTTCCACTTTCTATTTACTATTTATCCAGATACTCCTGGACCTCCTGTCAATGTGACTGTAAAGGAAGTATCCAAAGATTCAGCCTATGTCACCTGGGACCCCCCCATTATCGATGGTGGAAGCCCCATTATAAACTATGTGGTAGAAAAACGTGATGCAGAGAGGAAGTCCTGGTCTACAGTGACAACTGAGTGCTCAAAAACAAGTTTCAGAGTATCTAACTTGGAGGAGGGGAAATCCTACTTTTTCAGGGTATTTGCTGAAAATGAGTATGGCATTGGTGATCCTGGAGAAACGCGTGATGCCGTCAAAGCTTCTGGTGAGCAAACTGAACCCCTTCATGTGGAGTGACACCCTACGTTGGTTGTCTAGGGCTTGGACTTATCATGTCTCCTCTGCTGTAGAAACCCCTGGACCAGTTGTGGACCTGAAAGCACTGTCTGTAACTAAGTCATCTTGCACCATTGGCTGGAAAAAGCCACGCAGTGATGGTGGAAGTCGAATTACGGGATATGCAGTCGATTTCCTGACTGAAGATAATAAGTGGCAACGAGTTATGAAATCATTAAGCCTACAGTATACCGCAAAAGATCTGAGTGAAGGGAAGGAATATACCTTCAGAGTGTGCGCTGAGAACGACAATGGAGAAGGCACCCCAAGCGAAATCACAGTCATGGCAAAGGATGATGTCGGTAAGGCCCTCCCCAGACATCTTATTGTCTTCAAAGGTGCACTCTTGAGACCTACTCACTGAACTATCAAAAAAAAAAATCCATTAAAAGCTATAATGATTTGCAAGAGTCAATTGACTGGTCCTCATTTGCAGGGCTGGGAATATGACAGCTATCCAGCTCAATGAGAGAGTGCATTCCCAGCACGTGTGAGGCCTGGGCTTGATCTCCAGCACCTGCAGAAAAAAAACCTAATAATTTATGTCTGCTGTTTCACAGTGGCTCCTGATCTTGACCTAAAGGATCTACCTGATCTGTGCTATTTGGCTAGAGAAAACAGCAACTTCCGTCTTAAGATCCCCATAAAAGGCAAGCCAGCACCATCAGTATCCTGGAAGAAAGGAGAAGATCCTCTAGCAACTGACACAAGAGTCAGTGTTGAGTCAACTGCAGTGAACACAACTCTTGTAGTATATGATTGCCAAAAATCTGATGCTGGAAAATACACAATCACGCTTAAGAATGTTGCTGGCACCAAGGAAGGAACTCTCTCTATAAAAGTGGTTGGCAAGCCTGGCATCCCTACCGGACCAATCAAATTTGATGAAGTCACAGCAGAAGCCATGACCTTAAAGTGGGCTCCTCCAAAGGATGATGGAGGTTCTGAAATCACCAACTATATCCTGGAGAAGAGAGATTCTGTGAATAACAAGTGGGTGACATGTGCCTCCGCTGTCCAGAAAACCACCTTTAGAGTAACAAGACTTCATGAGGGAATGGAATATACCTTCAGAGTCAGTGCTGAAAATAAATATGGTGTAGGCGAAGGCCTGAAATCAGAGCCAATTGTTGCTAAACATCCATTTGGTAAGTGTCTCAAAAGAAGAAATATAAAATATAAAACATAGCTTTGTGGTGGTTCCTTATTATAAATTTGTGCTTCATGCTTTTTCCTAGATGTGCCCGATGCTCCTCCACCACCTAATATTGTAGATGTTAGGCATGATTCTGTATCTCTTACCTGGACCGACCCCAAGAAGACTGGTGGCTCTCCAATTACAGGTATTTAGTTTGTTCTTATCCTACAGCTTTATGTCAATGCTCCTTCCAATTATTTCTGTGAAAACAAAATAAATGTGTGCTCATTACTTATAATACTGCATATGCAATAATGTATTTTTCTTTCAGTGCATATGACTAATGTTTAATTACACTGAAAACCTCCTAATGTGACAGTTAATAAAGACTTTCATGGTGACAGTATCTATTTTTGTAAGCTAATGTGCAACTGAGGGGTTCTAATGATGGATATTCCAAGAGGGGCAAAAAAATGGCACTATGCCTCAGTAATAAAAGTGTAGAGTTAAGAATGACTATGCGTTCAGTATGTAAATAATTAATTTGAACATATGTATAGTAAAATAAATCTGTATTGTGCTTCCCTTCTGCATTGATTCATTCGTGGTTTTATTCATAGGATATCACATTGAGTTCAAGGAAAGAAACAGCCTTTTGTGGAAGAGAGCTAACAAGACTCCAATAAGGATGAAAGAATTTAAAGTGACAGGATTAACTGAAGGTCTTGAATATGAGTTCCGAGTCATGGCAATCAATTTAGCAGGAGTGGGCAAGCCAAGCCTGCCATCAGAGCCAGTTGTGGCTCTTGATCCAATTGGTAAGTCATTAATTATATGAAAAAAAACCCAAGGGCTTTTCTACATGAAGCAAACATCAGCATTTGTTTGACTGGACTTATTTTTATGTTTTAGATCCTCCTGGCAAACCTGAGGTTATTAATGTAACAAGAAATTCAGTGACTCTCATATGGACTGAACCCAAATATGATGGTGGTCACAAGTTAACTGGATACATAGTGGAGAAGCGGGACCTACCTTCTAAGTCTTGGATGAAAGCCAACCATGTAAATGTCCCTGACTGTGCTTTTACAGTAACTGACCTTGTTGAGGGTGGAAAATATGAATTCAGAATTAGGGCAAAGAATACAGCAGGTGCCATCAGTGCTCCATCAGAAAGTACAGGAACCATCATTTGCAAGGATGAATATGGTAGGTCAATTTTATTTTTACTGTATTAAAAAATAGTAAAATTAAACCTCCTTCCTTTTCTGATTAAAATGTATTTTTTTCTTTGCAGAGGCACCAACCATTGTCCTTGACCCCACAATAAAAGATGGGCTAACAGTTAAAGCTGGGGAAACTATTGTTTTGAGTGCCATTAGCATTCTTGGCAAACCTCTTCCAAAGTCAAGTTGGTCCAGAGCAGGGAAAGATATCAGACCATCAGATATCTCTCAGATAACTTCAACCCCAACATCTTCCACACTTGCAGTCAAGTATTCTAGTAGAAAAGATGCTGGTGAATATACAATCACTGCTACCAATCCTTTTGGAACAAAGGAGGAACATGTGAAGGTAACAGTCCTTGATGTACCTGGTCCCCCAGGTCCTATTGAAATCAGTAATGTTTCTGCTGAAAAAGCAACACTTACATGGACACCTCCCTTGGAAGATGGTGGATCACCAATTAAATCCTATGTTCTTGAAAAGAGAGAAACCAGCAGACTTTTGTGGACAGTGGTTGCTGAAGATATTCAGTCTTGCAGGCATGTGGTAACCAAGCTTATCCAGGGAAATGAGTACATCTTCCGTGTCTCCGCTGTAAATCATTATGGCAAAGGAGAACCTGTACAGTCTGAACCTGTCAAAATGGTAGACAGATTTGGTACGTAGAGCATGCAAGGGAACTGACAGAAACATTTACAGCAGAGTTCAGAAAATCATGGATTACTTACAAATTTGCTTCTTTTCTAGGTCCTCCTGGCCCTCCTGGAAAACCAGAGATATCGAACGTCACTAAGAATACTGCCACAGTCAGTTGGAAAAGACCAACTGATGATGGTGGCAGTGAAATTACAGGATATCATATAGAAAGGAGAGAAAAGAAAGGCTTGCGATGGGTGAGAGCAACAAAGACACCCGTTTCAGACCTCAGATGCAAAGTAACAGGACTGCAAGAAGGAAACACCTATGAATTCCGTGTCAGTGCTGAAAACAGAGCAGGAATTGGCCCACCTAGTGATGCTTCAAATCCTGTTTTAATGAAAGATGCTGCATGTTAGTATTCATCCTTTCCAGCACTGCTCATTTGGGAGTTCCAGTATTACAGATAAGTTATCCAAAAGCCAACTCTTAATATATATATATTTTTTTTTATCTTTTTCAGATCCTCCAGGACCACCTTCAAATGCACATGTCACTGACACTACCAAGAAATCTGCTTCTTTAGCATGGGGCAAGCCTCACTATGATGGTGGACTTGAAATCACAGGCTATGTGGTAGAGCATCAAAAAGTAGGAGATGAAGCCTGGATAAAAGATACAACAGGAACTGCCCTCAGAATCACTCAGTTTGTTGTCCCTGATCTTCAGACTAAAGAAAAATACAACTTCAGAATCAGCGCTATCAATGATGCAGGTGTTGGGGAGCCAGCAGTGATTCCAAATGTTGAAATTGTAGAGCGGGAAATGGCTCCTGACTTTGAACTGGATGCTGAGCTTCAAAGAACGCTTGTGGTTAGAGCAGGACTCAGTATTAGAATTTTTGTGCCCATTAAAGGTCGTCCTGCTCCTGAAGTGACATGGACCAAAGATGGTGTGAACTTGAAAAACCGAGCCAATATTGAAAATACAGAATCATTTACTCTCCTGATTATCCCAGAATGTAACAGATATGACACTGGCAAATTTGTGATGACCATCGAAAACCCAGCTGGAAAGAAAAGTGGCTTCGTTAATGTCAGAGTCTTAGATACACCAGGCCCTGTCCTTAACTTAAAGCCAACAGACATCACCAAGGACAGTGTCACCCTGCACTGGGACCTGCCTCTGATCGATGGGGGCTCACGTATTACAAACTATATCGTTGAGAAACGTGAAGCAACTCGGAAATCTTATTCCACGGTCACCACTAAATGCCATAAATGCACATATAAAGTCACTGGCTTGTCGGAAGGATGTGAATACTTCTTCAGAGTAATGGCAGAAAATGAATATGGGATTGGTGAGCCAGCAGAAACCACAGAACCTGTAAAGGCCTCTGAAGCACCATCACCCCCAGACAGCCTTAACATCATGGACATAACTAGGAGCACAGTCAGCTTGGCATGGCCCAAACCCAGACACGATGGTGGCAGTAAGATCACCGGCTATGTAATTGAAGCCCAAAGAAAAGGCTCTGACCAGTGGACCCACATCACAACCGTAAAAGGATTAGAATGTGTTGTGAAGAATCTAACGGAAGGGGAGGAATATACCTTCCAAGTGATGGCAGTGAACAGTGCAGGAAGAAGCGCCCCTAGAGAAAGCAGACCTGTCATTGTGAAGGAGCAGACAATGCTTCCAGAGCTAGACCTCCGTGGCATCTATCAGAAATTGATCATTGCCAGAGCTGGTGAAAACATCAAAGTTGAAATTCCAGTGCTTGGTCGACCAAAGCCCACAGTTACTTGGAAAAAAGGAGACCAAGTTCTTAAACAGACACAGAGAGTCAATGTTGAGAATACAGCAACATCAACCATCCTAAATATCAATGAGTGTGTCAGAAGTGATAGTGGGCCCTATCCATTAACGGCAAGGAACATTGTAGGAGAGGTTGGCGATGTCATCACCGTTCAAATTCATGATATCCCAGGGCCACCTACTGGACCAATCAAATTTGATGAAGTTTCATCTGACTTTGTAACCTTCTCTTGGGACCCACCTGAGAATGATGGAGGTGTACCAATAAGCAACTATGTAGTGGAAATGCGACAGACTGATAGTACTACATGGGTAGAGTTAGCAACCACTGTTATACGTACTACTTACAAAGCCACTCGCCTTACTACTGGAGCGGAATATCAATTCCGTGTAAAAGCTCAAAACAGGTATGGAGTTGGACCAGGCATCACATCAGCATCTGTAGTTGCCAGCTATCCATTTAAGGTGCCTGGACCTCCCGGTACCCCTCAGGTAACTGCAGTTACCAAAGACTCAATGACAATCAGCTGGCATGAGCCACTTTCCGATGGTGGAAGCCCCATTTTAGGGTATCACATTGAAAGAAAAGAAAGAAATGCTATTCAATGGCAAACTGTGAGCAAAGCATTAGTACCAGGCAATATTTTCAAATCCAGTGGACTTACAGATGGCATTGCTTATGAATTCCGAGTAATTGCAGAAAATAAGGCAGGCAAAAGCAAGCCAAGCAAGCCATCTGAACCAGTGTTTGCTTTGGATCCCATCGACCCACCTGGGAAACCAATACCTCTAAATATTACTAGACACACAGTGGCACTTAAATGGGCTAAGCCTGAATATACTGGAGGCTTTAAAATTACTAGTTACATAGTTGAGAAGAGAGACCTTCCAAATGGACGGTGGCTGAAGGCCAACTTCAGCAACATTTTGGAGAATGAATTTACAGTCAGTGGCCTAACAGAAGATGCTGCATATGAATTCCGTGTAATTGCCAAAAATGCTGCTGGTGCTGTCAGTCCACCATCGGAGCCATCAGATGCTATCACGTGCAGGGATGACATTGAAGCACCAAGGATAATGGTGGATGTTAAATTTAAGGACACAGTTGTATTAAAGGCAGGCGAAGCATTCAAGCTAGAAGCTGACGTTTCTGGTCGCCCACCTCCAACAATGGAATGGACCAAGGATGGAAAAGAGCTTGAAGGCACAGTAAAATTAGAAATAAAAATTGCAGATTTCTCCACTAATCTGATAAACAAGGATTCCTCAAGAAAGGATAGTGGTGCCTATATCCTCACAGCAACTAATCCTGGTGGCTTTGCCAAGCATATTTTCAATGTCAGAGTTCTTGATAGACCGGGCCCACCTGAAGGACCTTTAGCTGTATCTGATGTGACAGCAGAAAAATGTGTGTTGTCATGGTTGCCTCCGCTGGATGATGGAGGTGCCAAAATTGAACATTATGTAGTACAGAAACGTGAAACCAGCAGATTGGCATGGACAAATGTTGCCTCTGAAGTCCAAGTAACAAAACTGAAGGTCACTAAACTTTTGAAAGGCAATGAATACATATTCCGAGTCATGGCTGTAAATAAATATGGAGTTGGAGAGCCATTGGAATCAGAGCCCGTGCTTGCCGTGGATCCTTATGGACCTCCTGATCCACCCAAAAACCCTGAAGTTACAGCTATCACTAAAGATTCCATGATTGTCTGCTGGGGACATCCTGACTCTGATGGTGGAAGAGAAATCACAAATTACATTGTTGAGCGGCGTGATAAAGCTGGGCAACGCTGGGTGAAATGCAACAAAAAAACCCTTACTGATTTAAGATATAAAGTGTCCGGACTGACAGAAGGGCATGAATATGAGTTCAGGATTATGGCAGAAAATGCTGCTGGGATTAGCGCACCAAGTTCTACAAGTCCTTTTTATAAAGCTTGTGACGCTGTGTTTAAACCTGGCCCACCAGGTAATCCACGTGTTCTTGATACAAGCAGATCATCCATTTCAATTGCATGGAATAAACCTATCTATGATGGTGGTTCAGAAATCACTGGGTACATGGTTGAGATTGCCCTGCCGGAAGAAGATGAATGGCAGATTGTCACCCCACCAGCTGGGCTCAAGGCAACTTCTTATACCATCACCGGTCTCATAGAGAACCAGGAATATAAAATCCGCATCTATGCCATGAATTCTGAAGGACTTGGGGAACCTGCCCTTGTCCCTGGAACTCCAAAGGCTGAAGACAGAATGCTGCCTCCAGAGATTGAACTGGACGCTGACCTGCGCAAAGTTGTTACTATAAGAGCCTGCTGCACCCTAAGACTTTTTGTTCCAATCAAAGGAAGGCCTGCACCTGAGGTGAAGTGGGCCCGAGAACATGGAGAGTCTTTGGATAAAGCTAGCATTGAATCCACAAGCTCTTACACCCTGCTCATTGTTGGAAATGTAAACAGATTTGACAGTGGCAAATACATACTGACTGTAGAGAACAGCTCGGGCAGTAAGTCTGCATTTGTCAATGTTAGAGTATTAGATACGCCAGGCCCTCCCCAGGATCTGAAGGTGAAAGAGGTCACAAAGACATCTGTCACACTGACATGGGAGCCTCCACTTCTTGATGGAGGATCCAAAATAAAGAACTATATTGTTGAAAAGCGGGAATCAACGAGAAAAGCATATTCAACTGTTGCAACAAACTGCCACAAAACTTCCTGGAAGGTAGACCAGCTTCAAGAAGGCTGTAGTTACTATTTCAGGGTTCTTGCTGAAAATGAATATGGCATTGGGCTGCCTGCTGAAACCGCAGAGTCTGTAAAGGCATCAGAACGGCCTCTTCCTCCAGGAAAAATCACTTTGGTGGACGTCACAAGAAATAGTGTGTCACTCTCTTGGGAGAAACCAGAGCATGATGGAGGCAGCCGCATTTTAGGCTACATTGTAGAGATGCAGAGCAAAGGCAGTGACAAATGGGCCACGTGTGCCACAGTTAAAGTCACGGAAGCCACTATAACTGGACTGATCCAGGGTGAAGAATATTCTTTCCGTGTTTCAGCTCAAAATGAAAAGGGCATCAGTGATCCCAGACAACTGAGTGTGCCAGTAATTGCTAAAGATCTTGTCATTCCACCAGCCTTCAAACTCCTGTTCAATACCTTCACTGTGCTAGCAGGTGAAGACCTTAAAGTTGATGTTCCATTCATTGGACGCCCTACACCAGCTGTAACCTGGCATAAAGATGATGTACCACTGAAGCAGACAACTAGAGTAAATGCAGAAAGCACAGAAAATAATTCACTACTGACAATAAAGGAAGCCTGCCGAGAAGATGTTGGGCGTTACGTAGTTAAACTGACTAATTCAGCTGGTGAGGCTACTGAAACTCTTAATATTATTGTTCTTGACAAACCAGGGCCTCCAACTGGACCAGTTAAAATGGATGAAGTGACAGCTGACAGCATTACTCTTTCCTGGGAGCCACCAAAGTATGATGGTGGAAGTTCTATCAATAACTACATCGTAGAGAAACGGGACACCTCCACAACCACTTGGCAAATTGTGTCAGCTACAGTTGCAAGGACAACAATAAAGGCCTGCAGATTAAAGACCGGATGTGAATATCAGTTTAGAATTGCTGCTGAAAACAGATACGGAAAGAGTACCTACCTCAATTCAGAGCCCATTGTTGCCCAGTATCCATTCAAGGTTCCTGGTCCACCTGGCACACCGTTCGTCACATTCTCCTCTAAGGACAGCATGGAAGTACAATGGCATGAGCCAGTCAGTGATGGAGGAAGCAGAGTCATTGGCTATCATCTAGAACGCAAGGAAAGAAATAGCATCCTCTGGGTCAAATTGAATAAAACACCCATTCCTCAAACCAAGTTTAAGACAACTGGCCTCGAGGAGGGCATTGAGTATGAATTTAGAGTCTCTGCAGAAAACATTGTGGGCATCGGCAAGCCGAGTAAACCATCAGAATGCTATGTAGCTCGTGACCCATGTGATCCGCCAGGACGACCAGAGGCAATCATTGTCACAAGGAATTCTGTGACTCTTCAGTGGAAGAAACCTACCTATGATGGTGGAAGCAAGATCACCGGTTACATAGTTGAGAAGAAAGAATTACCTGAGGGCCGCTGGATGAAAGCCAGTTTTACAAATATCATTGACACCCAGTTTGAAGTAACTGGCCTAATTGAAGATCATAGATATGAGTTCCGAGTTATAGCTCGAAATGCAGCAGGAGTGTTTAGTGAGCCTTCAGAAAGCACGGGAGCAATAACAGCAAGAGACGAGGTAGAGCCACCAAGAATAAGTATGGACCCCAAGTACAAAGACACAGTTGTGATTCATGCTGGTGAGTCATTCAAGATTGATGCAGATATACATGGCAAACCAATACCAACCACTCAGTGGATAAAAGGTGACCAGGAGCTTTCAAGCACAGCTCGATTAGAGATAAAGAGCACTGACTTTGCCACCAGTCTTAGTGTAAAGGATGCAGTACGTGTTGACAGTGGAAATTATATTCTGAAGGCCAAAAATGTTGCGGGAGAGAAATCAGTTACTGTGAATGTGAAAGTTCTTGATAGACCAGGGCCACCGGAAGGACCTGTTGTTATATCAGGAGTTACAGCAGAAAAATGCACACTAGCCTGGAAACCCCCACTTCAAGATGGTGGGAGTGATATCATAAATTATATCGTGGAAAGGCGAGAAACCAGCCGTCTAGTCTGGACTGTGGTTGATGCCAATGTGCAAACTCTCAGCTGCAAGGTTACTAAGCTTCTTGAAGGCAATGAATATATTTTCCGTATAATGGCTGTAAACAAATATGGTGTTGGTGAACCACTTGAATCTGAGCCATTAATTGCCAAGAATCCATTTGTAGTCCCGGATGCACCAAAAGCTCCAGAAATCACAACAGTGACCAAGGACTCAATGATCGTTGTATGGGAAAGACCAGCATCTGATGGTGGTAGTGAGATTCTTGGATATGTTCTTGAAAAACGGGACAAAGAAGGCATTCGCTGGACGAGATGCCACAAGCGTCTGATTGGGGAGTTGCGCTTGAGAGTAACTGGGCTCATAGAGAATCACGATTATGAATTCAGAGTCTCAGCTGAGAATGCCGCTGGACTTAGTGAGCCAAGCCCTCCTTCCGCACACCAAAAAGCTTGTGATCCTATTTACAAACCAGGTCCTCCAAACAACCCCAAAGTCATGGATATCACCAGATCTTCAGTTTTCCTTTCCTGGAGCAAACCAATATATGATGGTGGCTGTGAAATCCAAGGGTACATTGTTGAAAAATGTGATGTGAGTGTTGGTGAATGGACAATGTGCACTCCACCACATGGAATCATTAAAACAAATATAGAAGTAGAGAAGCTGATGGAAAAGCATGAATACAACTTCCGAATTTGTGCCATTAATAAAGCTGGAGTTGGTGAACATGCTGACGTCCCTGGACCTGTACTAGTTGAAGAAAAATTGGAAGCACCAGACATAGATCTTGACCTAGAACTAAGGAAAGTTATAAATATAAGGGCAGGTGGCTCCTTAAGGCTTTTTGTTCCTATAAAAGGTCGTCCTACCCCAGAAGTTAAATGGGGGAAGATGGATGGTGAAATCCGAGATGCAGCTATAATTGATGTCACTAGCAGTTTTACTTCTCTGGTTCTTGAAAATGTCAATCGATATGATAGTGGAAAATATACTCTCACGTTAGAGAACAGCAGTGGAACAAAGTCTGCCTTTGTTACTGTGAGAGTCCTGGATACACCAAGTCCACCTATCAACTTGAAAGTCACAGAAATCACCAAAGACTCAGTATCAATTACATGGGAACCTCCTTTGATAGATGGGGGATCTAAAATCAAAAATTACATTGTTGAGAAACGCGAAGCCACAAGAAAATCATATGCTGCTGTTGTAACCAATTGCCATAAGAATTCTTGGAAAATCGATCAACTCCAAGAAGGTTGCAGTTATTACTTTAGAGTCACAGCTGAGAATGAGTATGGTATCGGCCTTCCTGCCCGCACTGCTGATCCAATTAAGGTTGCAGAAGTCCCACAACCTCCAGGAAAAATAACTGTGGATGATGTGACCAGAAACAGTGTCTCTCTGAGTTGGACAAAGCCTGAACATGATGGTGGCAGTAAAATCATTCAGTATATTGTGGAAATGCAAGCTAAACACAGTGAGAAGTGGTCAGAATGTGCTCGGGTAAAGTCCCTTGAGGCAGTAATAACCAACCTAACTCAGGGAGAGGAATATCTTTTTAGAGTCGTTGCTGTAAATGAAAAGGGAAGAAGTGATCCTAGGTCCCTCGCAGTACCCATCATTGCCAAAGATCTGGTTATAGAGCCCGATGTAAGACCTGCATTCAGCAGTTACAGTGTACAGGTTGGCCAAGATTTGAAAATAGAGGTACCAATTTCTGGACGTCCTAAACCAACTATTACCTGGACTAAAGATGATCTTCCTCTGAAGCAGACCACAAGAATCAATGTTACCGACTCACTTGACCTCACCACACTCACTATCAAAGAAACTCATAAAGATGACAGTGGACACTATGGAATCACAGTTGCCAATGTTGTTGGTCAGAAAACAGCATCCATTGAAATTATAACTCTAGATAAACCTGATCCTCCAAAAGGACCTGTTAAATTTGATGAGGTCAGTGCTGAGAGTATTACATTATCTTGGCAGCCTCCATTATACACAGGGGGCTGCCAGATTACTAACTACATTGTTCAGAAAAGAGACACAACCACCACAGTATGGGATATTGTTTCTGCTACTGTTGCTAGAACTACACTCAAAGTAACCAAACTGAAAACTGGTACCGAATACCAATTCAGAATATTTGCTGAAAACAGATACGGACAAAGCTTTGCCTTGGAGTCAGAACCAGTTGTAGCTCAATATCCCTACAAAGAACCAGGTCCTCCAGGTACACCATCTGCCATAGCCATCGCCAAAGACTCTATGGTCATACAGTGGCATGAACCAATCAATAATGGTGGAAGCCCTATCATAGGCTACCACCTCGAAAGAAAGGAGAGAAATAGTATTTTGTGGACAAAAGTCAACAAGACTATTATTCATGACACCCAGTTCAAAGTGCTAAACCTTGAAGAAGGCATTGAATATGAATTCAGAGTTTGTGCTGAAAATATTGTTGGTGTAGGCAAACCAAGCAAGAGTTCCGAATGCTATGTGGCCCGAGATCCCTGTGACCCACCAGGAACCCCAGAAGCAATAATAGTTAAAAGAAATGAAATCACTTTACAGTGGACCAAGCCTGTGTATGATGGTGGGAGTATGATTACAGGCTACATTGTAGAGAAACGCGATTTACCTGAAGGTCGCTGGATGAAAGCTAGTTTCACAAATGTCATCGAAACTCAGTTTACTGTGTCAGGTCTCACTGAAGATCAAAGATACGAGTTCAGAGTCATTGCAAAGAATGCAGCCGGTGCAGTAAGTAAACCCTCTGACAGTACTGGGCCAATAACCGCCAAGGATGAGGTTGAACTCCCAAGAATTTCAATGGATCCAAAATTCAGAGACACAATAGTGGTAAATGCTGGAGAAACATTCAGGCTTGAGGCTGACGTCCATGGAAAGCCTCTACCTACCATTGAGTGGTTACGAGGTGATAAAGAAGTTGAAGAATCTGCCAGATGTGAAATAAAGAACACAGATTTCAAGGCCTTACTTATCATAAAGGATGCCATTAGAATTGATGGTGGACAGTATATCTTAAGAGCCTCCAATGTGGCAGGTTCTAAGTCCTTCCCAGTAAATGTAAAAGTATTAGATAGACCGGGACCACCAGAAGGGCCAGTTCAGGTTACTGGAGTTACGGCTGAAAAATGCACGTTAGCATGGGCCCCACCACTTCAGGATGGTGGCAGTGACATTTCTCACTATGTTGTTGAAAAGCGAGAAACCAGTAGACTTGCATGGACTATAGTTGCTTCAGAAGTTGTGACTAATTCTCTGAAAATTACCAAACTCCTAGAAGGAAATGAATATATTTTCCGTATAATGGCTGTCAATAAATATGGTGTTGGAGAGCCTTTGGAATCTGCACCAGTACTAATGAAAAATCCATTTGTGCTTCCTGGACCACCAAAAAGCCTGGAAATCACAAACATTGCCAAAGATTCTATGACTGTCTGTTGGAACCGTCCAGATAGTGATGGTGGAAGTGAAATTATTGGTTACATTGTAGAGAAAAGAGACAGAAGTGGCATTCGGTGGATAAAATGTAATAAACGCCGCATTACAGATTTGCGACTGAGAGTAACAGGATTAACAGAAGACCATGAGTATGAATTCAGAGTCTCTGCTGAAAATGCTGCTGGAGTTGGAGAACCAAGTCCAGCTACAGTTTATTATAAGGCTTGTGATCCTGTGTTCAAACCTGGCCCACCCACCAATGCACACATTGTGGACACCACTAAAAGTTCAGTTACACTTGCCTGGGGTAAACCCATCTATGATGGTGGCAGTGAGGTCCTGGGATATGTCATAGAAATCTGTAAAGCAGATGAAGAAGAATGGAAAATAGTTACTCCACAGACTGGCCTGAGAGTCACTCGATTTGAAATCTTAAAACTCATTGAACACCAAGAATATAAAATACGAGTCTGTGCCCTCAACAAAGTTGGTTTAGGTGAGGCTGCATCAGTTCCTGGTACTGTGAAGCCAGAAGATAAACTTGAAGCTCCTGAACTTGACCTTGACTCTGAGTTAAGGAAAGGAATCGTTGTAAGAGCTGGTGGGTCTGCCAG